TGCGTGCCCAGTGAGGACAACTCGAGCCCGTCCTCCAAGCACGAGCCCCATGCCCGACGTACTGCACAGGTAGCGCAACACCCTCTTAGCTGCAGCCATGTGCTCTGGTCGGTGACTCCCAGGAGCAACATAGCGCGCCAAGATGCTAAGAGGGTATGCCAAGTCAGGTCGAGTGCAGGTCAGCAGGTACATGAGGCAGCCATTAAGCTCTGGGTACGGGCCACTCGGCTCTACGGACTCATCCGAAGGCAGAGCTGAGAGCGAGTGGCGAGTAGACAGAGGAGTGGCCTGAGGCGAGGAGTACGTGAAGTCAAAGCGTTGAAGGACCTGCTCCACCATGTGTGACTGAGTCAAGGTAATGGTGCGCCGTGCTCTGTCCCGGGTGATCTGCAAGCCAAGATAGCTGCGCAGCTCACCCAGGTTTGTGCACGTGTGTCTCTTCTGCAGCTCCGACTTCACGTGGGCGAGTCCCTCAGTGTCAGCAGTGGCAAAGACCAAGTCGTCGACGTACACGAGGATGTAGAACGGCGGCAACGAAATGTCGGTGCGTAGAAACAGCGACGGGTCAGCAGTAGAAGGAGCAAACCCAAGAGCCGCAAGCGTAGTCCTCAGTGTGTCGTGCCACTCACGGGGCGCCTGGCGGAGACCGTAGACTGGCCGCCGGAGGCTCCACTGGGTACCAGGAGGAAACGACCCAGTGAAGCCAGGTGGGCGGCGCAGCCAGATCTCCTCGTGCAGGCTGCCCTGTAGGAAAGGAGTGCTAAAGTCAAGAGAGTGAAGCTCGTAGTCACACTGACCAGCGACGTGCAGCAGAACCCGAAGAGTGGCCATCTTCGGGGTCGGGGAGAAGGTCTGGAAGAAGTCAACTCCCTGTCGCTATCTGAAGCCTCGAGCAACGTAATGTGCCTTGAAGACAGGCGGAGAACCTGGCAGCCGCTTCACCCTGAAAATCCACATGCCACCGACGATGTTCGCCCCAGGAGGGGGAACCTCATCGACGTAGGTGCTTGTGGACTTCCAGGATGCCATCTCTGCGTCCATGGCTGACTGCCACTGAGAGGGGTAGGGACCCTCTATCGCCTCTGCGTAAGAGCGCGGGGTCGGGATGTCTGGTGCATCCGGGTCTCCCTCAGGTGCAACCAGCATGGACACGAGATGAGGTACAGCGGCTGCAAAGCACTCAAAGTCCTCCTGCCTGTCCTCAAGGACGTGCGTGCCAAGAGCACACTCACCCCCGACAGACGGAGGACAGACAGACTCAGACTCCGCAACAAGACTCGCGGCGTAGTCTAGACGACAGTGAGCAGCAAAGTCGAGAAGCTCAGCAACTAAGGCAGACGCAGCAGTGGACTCAAAGGAAGGGTCAGTGACAACAATGGCCATGAGATGCATGACAGTAGGACTAGCAGCACGAAGGGAGTCAGACTCCGGGTCAGCAAGGGCAGAAAGAGAGGACGCAGGAGGAGACGGCAGTGGGACACGCTGCGGAGCAGTGGACGGACGCAGAGCCATCTGGTGCGTGCCAGGGACAGGAGGAGGACGCTGACGCGAACCACGACGACCAGTGCGAGCAGCACGAACAGGCGATGCAGGACGAGACTCAGGCTCACGACGCTCGGTAAGACCTCCAGTCGGACCAGTGTAAGGAGAAGGAGCAGGCAGTGGGGAGGCGGGCTGTAACTGTGACTGCGACTGGACAGGCGGTGGACACTCTAAAGAAGGAGCAGGGACAGTAGACGGCGGGAGACCAAGAACCTGCTGAAGGAGCGGAACGAAGTACGGCCTCGGCCGCGCAGCGCCTCCAGAACCAGCAGGGACAGCACCAGCACCCCCAGCATCAGCTCCAACTCCTGCAGCACCACCAGCTCTAGCAGCACCTCCAGCAGCTCCAGTAGCGCCAACTCCAGCACCCAAAGGAGCACCAGCTCCAGCAGCACCACCAGAAGCCCCAGCAGCTCTAGTAGCGCCAGCTCTAGCACCTCCAGCAGCACCTGCTCCAGCAGCACCGCCAGCTCCAGCACCTCCAGCAGCTCCAGCTCCAGCAGCACCACCAGGCCCAGCAGCTCCAGTACCTCCAGTACGAGCACCTCTGGGACCAGTGGCTCCAGAACCCCTAGCAGCTCCAGCAGCAGCAGGACCTCCAGCACCCGTAGCACCACCAGCTCCAGCAGCACGGCTCCAGCACCGAGCAAACCACTCGCGCAGCTAGTGTGGAGAGAGTGGCTCCCGCCGGGACGAAGCACCCGAAGGACCTCTAGGCGCAGCACCTCCAGACTCCACACGCGCAGGCTCAACACCCTCAGGCTCCGCACCCCCAGACTCAGCAACCCCAAGCTCAGCACCCCCAGGCTCAGCACCCCCAAACTCAGCACCCCCAGGCTCCGCACGCTCAGGCTCAGCACCCCCAGACCCGGCACCCGCAGGCTCAGCACCCCTAGCAGCACAAGAGTCAACAGCTACCTCGATAGGCTCGAATGCGTCTACCTGGGACACACCTGAGGGGGCAGGACCCTGAGGGGGAAGGGGGTCTACCGGGGGAGGACCTGGCGCAAGGAAGAGCGGCGGGGGGGGGGGAGGGGGGCCGTGCGGTAGGGGAAGAGGCGTCCTCGTGGATAAGAGCATGCTAAATGCGCACAGCGGGGCACGAAGGCGGAGGTGCATACGTGCAAGCGTGATGAACATCTAGCGGGCGTGATGAAGGCGATGGGTGGGGCGGTAGTAAGGCGACGTTTTGAGTCGCTAATCTGTGGACCTCTTGCTGTCTGGAATATAGTCATTTTACCAAGTGCTTGTCGTATGTGATGGAATATGTGTGCTGTGGTACTAGTAGGCATGCGCGTTTTGGTTCATGAACTGCTGGGTATGCAGCAAGTTCCCAACTCTCAGTTCGCCATTCGCAAGTGACGACGGGGGAGAGACAACACGCGCAAGTCCGCCAATAACCCTGTTTTGGTTCGCGTTGGATTCCTAAGCACAAACAGGGTAACCACCAAAGGCAAGTGATAAACCTTTGGGTCCACCCCCCCCAAAGTGCACCCCTGCTTTAAAGGACCACTGGACTCAAAAGGCTCGTCGGGAAAAGGGCCCGTGACGGTGTGGTCAACGGCAAGAGGAGTGGGTTGTGTGGTAGAGAACTGAAACCCGAATCGCCAAAGGACCTGCTCCACCATGTGTGACTGAGTCAGAGTGATGGTGTGAGCGGCTCCATCCCTAGTGATCTGCAAGCCAAGGTAGTGGCGCAGCTCACCAAAATCAATGCATGTGTATCTCTTCTGAAGTTCGCATTTCACCTCAGCTAGAGCGACCCTGTCTGCTGTAGCGAAGACCAAGTCGTCGATGTACACAAGAACGAAGAAAGGTGTGGGCCCAGAATGAACGAACAGCGACGGGTTGGCGACCGAAGGACGAAACCCAAGAGCAGCAAGAGTGGTGCGCAACTTGTCTTGCCACTCATGGGGCGCTTGGCGGAGACTGTAGACTGGTCGCCTCAGGCTCCACTGGGTCCCAGGCTGGACAGTCCCACTGAATCCGGGAGGGCGGCGCAACCAGATCTCCTCATGCAGGCTGCCCTAGAGAAAGGCGGTAGAGAAGTCGAGGGGGTGCAACTCGTAGTCTCGCTGTGTTGCAGCGTGAAGTAACACCCGAAGAGTAGTCATCTTCGGGGTCGGTGCGAAAGTCCGAAAAACGTCAACTCCCTCTCGCTGAATAAAACCTCTAGCCACGTAGCGTGCCTTGAAGATAGGCGGCGATCACGGCGGCCGCTTTACCTTAGCAATCTACATGTCATTGACTACGTTTGCCCCAGGCAGGGGAACTGCGTTGACGTACGTGCCTGTGGATCTCCAAGACGCCATCTCTGCCTTCATGGCCGCTGTCCACTAAGAGGCCCACTGCCTTGACACTGCCTCACGGTACGTGCGAGGAGTTGGTATGTCAAGGGCGTCGAGGTCTCCCTCAGGGGCTAGCAGCATGGCACAAAGATGGGGACAAGCAGCTACCAAGAACTCCAACTCAAACTGCCTGTCCTCTAGGACGTCACAGCCAAGGGAAGACTCACCCCCAAAGGATAGAGGACGGGCAGCCACCACTCGAGTGGTGTAGTCAAGGTGGCGGGTGGCGGCAAAGTCAGCAACAACAGCAGTAAGAGCCAAAAAAGATGATAGAGAGGCACGAGGGTCCGTGACTAGAGAGGCGAGAACATGGGTGACAACAGGACGAGTGGCACGGTAGTAATCAGTGATAGGGGTAGAGGTGTAGGCTGTAAGAGACGACTCAGGAGGTCACGGGAGAACAGACTGAGGCAGAGAACTATGAGGTCTTGAACGAAGTATGACACTGTGGAGGTAGTGAGAAGGAGACGAGGGACGTGTACAAGCGGGACAGCGAACTGTCCAGTCGTGCGGGACAATAGGAGGAGACGACTGTGATCTAGGAGTAGAGAAAACAGCCGGAGACGAGTACGGTCGGGGAAATGTAGGACCATAAGCAGGAGGAGACAGAGGGGAGGGGAAGGAAGACCAATGGCCCGAAGGCCACTCAGAGGTGAAGACAACTGCTGCAAAGGTGGCTGCCCCGGCTGCTACTGCTGCTGCTGCAGCTCCCGCTGCTGCTGCTCCTGCTCCTAGTGCTCATGCTTCACACGCTCCAGCCATCGAAGCTCCTGGAGACGGGTCCGGTAGCGGTGGGGAGGAGGAGTAGGCGCCGCAAAAGTAGCACCTCCAGCTCCAGCTCCCTCAAAAATAGCACCTCTAGTACCAATACTGACAACTCCAGCACCCCCAGGACCAGCACTTCCTGAACTGGCACCCTTAGCGCCAACACCGACAGCTCCAGCACCCCTAGTGTCAGCGCCTCCAGCTCCAGCACCCCGAACACTAGCACCTCCAGTGCCAGTACCCTCAGCTCCAGCAACCCCAAAACTAGCACCTCCAGTGTCAGTACCCTCAGCTCCAACACCCCCAAAACTAGCACCTCTTGTGCCAGTACCCTCAGCTCCAGCACCCCCGAAACTAGCAGCTCTAGTGTGAGTACCCTTAGCTCTCAGAACTAGCACCTCCAGCGCCCCTACCCTCAGCTCCAGCACCCTTCTTGCCTAAACTCTCTAATCATCCATGGCTACCCTAATCACTATCTTAACAGGATGAACCGTCGATCATGGGAATTGGTGGGTGCGGAGAATCAGATTTCCAATTTACAATTTCCAATCAGAGCTGTGACGGCTTATAGCGTACCGAATTTATGGGTGTCGAGAATCACTCTACACTGGAATCTGGACTACGGGGGAAGGCATGGATGTTACAAGTGATCACAACTTTGCTTGTGTTCTCACTACTTGCTCATCGATAGAGAAGTTGACAAGAGTCATACTATAGAAAAGGAGAATACAGAATGATCAGTAGCAATGGCAAAACTGACTACATCAGAAGCAAGCATCCTAGCAGACAGGCAAGTCGATCGCCAGTGTAGCAAGGTTGACCGCCTGCTAGTACTGCGTAGAGGCACTACGGTAGCGTTGCAGAAAGGCAACCTTCCAATAGAGCAAGCTGGCGGCTTGCCAACGCTGCATCTGCAGATGACAGTAGCACAAGTGTGCACCCACGTCGCCGGTGCATTGCGATGGTTGAGGTCGCGTCGGCCTTCGGGCAGCACAATCTTTTCTGGCGAAAACTTGAAGTACCCGTATGCCGTGGTGATCCCGCTTGCCGTCACGTAAGTTGCAGAAGTCGACCTCACACTGCTTCAGTGAGGAGAGCGACATTGCCCACCGACATTGCCATTCTGGCTACCTATGGTCGTCGTCGACCGCATCCCTTGCACCTGCATTCTGCCGACTTCGACGTCGACCTCCGTGATCACTACTCTTGTCCTCCTTATGCCCTCTTTGTCGACTTGGCCACCGTCGTCTTCCTGCTCGTCAATGCCGCCTTCGTTGCGTGCTGATCGAGGAGAGGCGGACACACCGCCCGCTTCAGCATGGGATGTCGGATGCTCGCGCGCCCACTACACACGACTTCCTAGGAGCAGCACCTCCAGGTCTGCTCCACCATACTCGCCATTCATATGGCGTCTCCTAACGTGAGCCAACAGTGCCTCCAAACTATCCTCTACACTTGCGGCTCGTACCGGGGTAGGCGCCATGGTATATACGGGAAGCCGGCCTAACAACTACTTAGGTATGAAGTGAAGGATCTTTGCCTAGTGGTGTTTAGCCACCTCCATCACGAGCAAGGGGGGGTGATCGTTGTGTAGGTGGTTGTGGTATTCTGCTCTAGCTGGTTGTGGGCAAAATGTGATTGTTAGACTTGCTGTGGGCTGGAATTGAACTTGCAAGCAACAAACATCAACAAACCTTTGCTATTCACTACAACGCCTTTGGTGTTGCTAGTTTGGCATTTTAGGTTGTCGGGAATTGTTGTAGGGCAAGGGTTGGGATGCTAGAGTTTCTAAAACTTGTCCCTTTCATATGTGAACTCTTGCTACAACCGTTTTTAGATCTAATCCATGGCTGCCAAGTGATTCCGCCATGATACCCTTTCGTACTCAAATCACGATAGCAATTGACCTAGATCTTGGTTGAAGGCGTGCTTTATTCAAAGAAAGTAAAGATTATGACATTTCCAACCTATACATGCTTAGGGAACATTCATGTGGGGACACAAGTGTCTCAATCACTTTGTGACACCCAAAAACAACATAATCTGTATTGTGTCCCAAATGTGAGTCGCCTTTCAGCAACCATTACTGTATTTTTCATTGGTGAGCGTGAAACGCGCTGACGTCGCTGACAAATCGCAAATCGACTCGTCATTGTTTAAAAAACGCACGTGACTCGAAATGCCCAACACGACTACATGCACCTGGATACTCGACAATGAAAAATTCGCGAGGAAAAAAATCCCTCGCATCGAAACCAATCACCTACCTGGCGGTTGAAGAAATGGGTGTACAGTCATTTGTGTCACCGAATCAAATGTGCACAACTGTACATTTCGCCTGGTCGCCTAGTGTCGCGACACATTCAATCTTTGTGATGTGATGTTGACCAAATTTTCAGATGCAACTCGGGAAAAAGGGGATTGAGACACTTGTGTCCCCACAGAAATGTTCCCTTATATTTTTAGGTTATGTGATCTGCATGCAATGTTTCCGTCGAAGTCGGTGGACTTAATCTCTTACTACGCTCTCTAGATTCACACGCTTTCCATCAGTGGTATTAGAGCTGGTTAGGCCAGCGACATACCCTCCTATTATCATATTTCGTATTGGTTCAAGGACCTGCCGATCTAAGGTTGGTCATGGCCCGGAAATTAGATGTCCCTCCTAAGTTTGCTGGCTCAGATTTTTTGCTATGGTAGTTCCCGTTCACACTTTGGTTAGGTATTAAAAATATAGAGGGCATTTTGGAGGAATCGGAGCGAAGATATAAAGTTGAAGAACAAATGACATTTACTAGAGTGGCCACCTAAGTGGGAGAAGGGGCTAGGTGAGCCTCTAGCTCATCCATAAGTGAGGGAAGTGGAGGTGGATCAACAGTAATGTCCAAATAACATGCGAGTGATGCCCGAATAACGCCAAAATCGAAAAACGTCTGTATAACGTCGAAATAACGCACGATTTCGGTAGTGCCTCGGTATGCTCTCAGCGAGCGCGCAAATTCTGGACGAGTAAGAGCTTTCCAAAGAAAGTGAGCAAGAAATTTGGGAGGAAAAGGAAGAGCAAGCAGGAGCTAGGAATTCGCGAGGTCGTGTGGAGAACGGCAAAGAGCACCATGTTCACTGACTGGCTACAGGAAAAAGGGAAGGGAGGAAGGAAGAAGCTCTTTAGACAATTGACTGGCTGACTAATGTGGAAAGCGGGGTGAGTGACGTGGTGCGATTGATAGGGACCAGGGTTAGAGGGTGATGTGGTAGGGAAATATCGCGTAGAAGGTGATATATGACAAGAAGTTCAGCTCAATTTTGTGGTCTAAAGACAACTACGATGAGCTGTTTAATGCGTGCAATTTGGACTTGGTCCGATCCAACAACTGGCCGTTTTCATGAACCGTCGGAAAAATAAAGAGAGCATATCCTACAGAATGCGCTTCAGATGACCAATGACGAGCCCTGTTCGGGGTAAAGCCAGCTGTACCAACCTCAACCTCAGAGAAGGTACAGTTCAGGAAGAGCCATTTAATTCAAAAAGCGTTTTGTATTGAGAGTTCTTAGAGCTTCAGATTACAAAGAGGATGGATCAAACCACCCATTACTGCCATTGTTGTGCATGCGTTTTACCTATGGGGTGTGATGAAGCAGGCGGCTTGGCAGGCAACGGCCCGTTTGCTCGACGTCGGCTTTTGAATTCTTCGCGTATACTTACCGACGGCTCGCCTGCAGTCATTCCCTTGTGTAGTTTTCACGTCAGTCTCACCTTGTTTGCATTCGACGCGCCGCGAATTAGGATCACATTGCCGCCCAACGCGCGCCGCGCTTTAGAGTCCAATCAAGCAGCTGAGAATCCGACACTGTTAGCAGACTAGCACCCGTGATACCGCTTCTCCTCTTCGCGGGACCCGCGCCGTCGTAATTCGCGTCGGTACTAGACCTAGCGCGAGCCAATGGCGACGCTGTGGAATCGCGTGCAGCGCATGTGGCGGGACCGGTGGCTGGGGCTCATTCTCGGCATGTGGCTGCAGGCGTGCGGGGGGATCTCGTACGCGTTCTCGTTATACTCCGCCGCGTTAAAAGACAAGCTACAGTACTCGCAGGAAGCCGTGGACGGCTTAGGAACGGCAAAGGACATCGGCGGGAACGTGGGGATTGTATCGGGGCTGCTCATCGACCTCATGCCCGCGTGGGCTATCCTCGCTATAGGCGCCGCCATGCATCTGTTCGGGTACTCCATGGTACACCACGCGCAGTGAAAAGTTGTATCTGAGTGCATCCGTGCACCGCTTTAGTTCTTTCATCCGCACGGCGCGCTCTCCTATCGTCACTTGTCTCGCTTTCTGTCCTCCCCCTACGCCCCCCCCCTCTCCCCCCCACACCATCCCCCCCACCTCTCCTTCTCCCTTTCAATCCCCTCTCCCCGTCCATTACCCTCCCCCAGTCATCCCTTCCGCCCCACTCCACATCTGTCTATCGGGGTCCCACCTCCTCACCACCTTCTGTTCCGTTTCCTCCCCCACAATCTCACCCTCCGCCCCCCTCTCTCCCTCCCCCCGCCCCGCCTCTCCATCTCTCCCTCCCCCTCTTCACCAATCACGGTGTGCCAGCTGTACATGGCGTCCATGGGGATCACTCGCCCTCCATTCTGGCAGGTGCGTTCTCCGCCCTCCCTTCCTCTTTCTTCCAGCGGGAGAGTGAAGGAGAAGCATGGGTAGGGCAGCAATGCAGAAGAATCCGATTCAGGCGAGCCATGCTGTTTTCTTTCCTCCGCTTGGTGAATCGCGTCTCTCAGGCGAACCGTTCTCTATCAGGTAGGTCCGTGTCAGATGAGGCGATTGAGCTCGCGCCGTGGACTCAATCCCCTCACTGCTCCCTCACATGCCCCCTTCAAGTGTATGGTGTGGTCCCAATGCAGTCAACCATTTTCTCGTGTGTGCCAGTCATCATGAGTTGGGTCTCATGGTCTCATGTTCGCATAGGCGCATGCTCTCATGCTCTCACGGTCTCATGCTCTCATGGTCTCATGGTCTCACGGTCTCTTGTGCGCATGGTCTCATCCATGCCATGCCATGCCGTGCCACGGCACGGCGTGTGGGCAGATGCATGCCACTCATCACATTCGGGTCTTTGAATCGTCTTTGAACTTAGAATCTCTTCTGCCTTGCCACGTGGCAGATGTGTGCATTCATCATGCTGGGCACCAACGGAGCCACGTGGTTCAACACTGCTGTGCTCGTCACCTGGTGAAAATCCCTTTCCTATGTTTGCGTGTGTAGCTCTTTTGGTATTTCTCACAAACGTTACAAGCACTCACGTGCATTGCTCGGCAGTCCGGCTTAGGGTCGCTCCCCTTCCCACCCCATCTCCTCCCAAACCCGATTGTCTTTCCCCTCTTCCCGCCCATGATCCTTTCTGCTCTGTACCCTTTCCCCGTTCCTCCCGCGATCTCTTCCCCCTCGTGTCCGGTTCTGCATGGCAGCATCCGCAACTTTGAGGGTGACAGGGGCGTGGTGGTGGGGCTACTCAAGGGCTTTATAGGGCTCAGCGGGGCCATTTTCACGCAGGTCAGTGAGGTTTGGAAGAGGCTGGGAGTGAGGGCAATGCGTGTGGGGCTGGGAGTGAGGGTAATGCGTGTGAGGCTGGGAGTGAGGGTAATGCGTGTGGGGCTGGGAGTGAGGGTAATGCGTGTGAGGCTGGGAGTGAGGGTAATGCGTGTGAGGCTGGGAGTGAGGGTAATGCGTGTGAGGCTGGGAGTGAGGGTAATGCGTGTGAGGGAGGTTGTGGTGGGGCTGCTCAAGGGATTGTTAAGGCTCTCAGCTGCGCCATTTTCATGCAAGTCGATTAGTCATGGGAGGGGGGGTGGTTGTGGTTGGGGGAGGGAAGGGGGGGTCCCTGAGGGGGCGACAGGGGGGTGGTGGTGGGGCTTCATAGGGCTCAGTGCAGCTCTCTACTCTGCCCTTTACGCGCCTCATTTGGCGCTCATGCTGCTGCTCTGCGCACTGCTGTCCCTGCTTGGGCCGCTGCTCGCCCTGCGTACCATACCGTTCATCCCATGGTTCAAGCAGGGCGAGCAGGGACCCACTCTGGCAGCTTTTACCGCCTCCTAATCGATCTCTCTATACCTCCTTCCTTGCCCTTCCTATTGTCCTGGGTCGCAGCTCTACTCTGCACTCTACGCGCCCCACACGGCGCCCTTCCTGCTGCTCTGTGCGCTGCTGCCCCCGCTGGTGGCGCTGCTGGCGATGGCAGTCATTCGCCCCATGAACCCTCACCTGCTTGCCGCTGCAAGGAGAGACACTGGCGACAACAGTCGGTTTCGCTTCCTCTATGTGCGTGCGTTGCCCACATGCCCCTCTGTCCCTTGTTGCTGCTCTCATCCTCATCCTCACCCTCGTCCGCCTCTGCTGGTCGCTGCAAGCACACACGCCACCAGCAATACGCTTTTGATTCTTCATTGTGTGTTGCTCCCTCCCACCCCTCCTCGCCCATGCCTCTTTTCCTCGCACCCTACTCAACCTTTCTCGGCCCATTATGTCCTATCAGCTGAGCGAGCTTCCTCCTCCACTGCCACCGAGCCTCTATCTCATGTGCACATGGCATGGCACTGGTCCCTTCTCTGTGCAGGTGGTGGGAGTGGGTCTCGCGCTCTACCTCATGCTCGCCATGACACTGCAGGTGTGCTGTACAGCCGTAAAACCCAAGCTCTGCTTCATGCTCTGCTTCAAGCTCTACCTTATCCTCCGCCTCTCGCCCTGCCTCACGCTCATACCTGCTTCCATTCAGACATTCATTTTTCCATTTTTTTAAACAATTTTCGCATATTGTTTCTGATATCCATGTCCCAACCCTTCCCTAACCGTGCCCCACCCATGCATAACCCAGGAAACGCTGTCCCTCTCCCGCCCCTATCGCCTTGTTTCCATGGCTGGAATGGTGCTGCTGCTCGCCCTCCCCATCTCCCTCCCGGTATGCCGCTGCTCCCGCCCCCCCTCCCCTCTTCTGTACACCCTTCTCCATTCTTGTTTGAATTTCCTCCATCCCCGACGGACCATTCTCCTCTCAAAAGTTTCGTTGCCATTTCAGCATTCTCTATTCCAACCATTCCCGATCGCGGCATGACCCATGGACCAATGCTTGGAGGGGGTGGAGTGGAGTTAACCAAGGTGAAAATCGCATAGTTGTTTCTTGGAAAAGGCGTAGAAGCGACCACAGAAGGTCTGAACATGCAACGGCATTCGAACTGTCTAAATAATAAACTGGCTTTATTGGGAAATTAGGAAGTTGCCCGGATCAGAGAAAGTAACCTCTTTTCTGTTAGCTGGAAGCCCTCTTGCTTTTCCAGCCGTCATGCCCCTTTCTTTCCATCCCTCCCTCTCCCTCTCCCTCTCCCTCTCCCTATTCCTCTCCCTCTTCTCTTCCTCTCCCTCTCCTCTTCCTCTCACCTTTTTCTCTTTCCTTCCCTTCCACACTCTCCTCTCCGATTCTTCACTCCGTCTCCACCCGCCTGTTCCCCCTCCCACTCTCCCACCCTGGCATCCCCTCCAGTGGTTCAAAGCCGGCCGCCTATTTTTGAGGCACCTCAAGAATAGCTTCACTCCATGTCCACCCGCGTTTTCCCCCTCCCACTCTCTCATCATCACCCCCTCCCACTCTCTCATCATCACCCCCTCCCACTCTCTCATCATCACCCCCTCCCACTCTCTCATCATCACCCCCTCCCTGCCTGCCATCCCCTTCAGTGGGACAAAGCACGGAGCCCCATCGCTTCCAAGCTGCCTTTACATTCACCGCACGATTACCTCGACCAACTTTCCTCTGCCACCTCCTCCTTTACCTTCAAGCCGTCTGCCACACGCACGGATCACTCCTCGCTCCCTGATGACAGCGACACCACTGGAGGCGAGTCGTACCCTCTTCTCACTGTCCCTGACAGCAGCAGCAATGGCAGTAGGCTCGGCAACAGCAGCGGCGGCAGCGGTAGGTCCGGCAACAACAGCAGCAGCAGCAGCGGCGGCGGCGGTGGAGGTGGTGGAGGGGGTGTGATGAGCAGAAAAGGCAGCTGCGAGTCGTTCAGTGACACGGTAGGGAGCCCCCTTAAGGCCACCTCCTTTACCAGCACACCTGCCTCTCACAGCGGTGCGGGGCGTGCGAGTGAGCGGGCTGGTTCTGACGTGCCGCATACATTCGATACAAGCACACCTGCTTCTGACATGAGTGCAGGGTGGGCGAGTGATAGAGAAGGTAGCCCAAGGGAGCGTGGGGGAGGAGGCTTGGGGCAGGCAGGGAGCAGTGCGGCAGGTAGTGGCTTGGGAGTGGGGGTGAGGGGGAATGGCGGAGGCGTGGGTGGGTGTGGGGAGGGCGGGAGGGAGGGGAAAAGCATGGAGGTTGAAGGGAGGAGCAGCCGTGCTGGGGGGGTGGAAGTGGGGAGGGGACAGCGAGGCAGTGCCCTGCGCGTGGGCATGGATCACACTCTGCTGCAGGCTGCTGTCACTCCCGAGTACTGGTGAGCGTGAGTCTGTCCCTGAGGCTCTACTTAATATAGTATTCGCATGAGCGTGGGACTGGGGAGGGGAGAAGTGGGGCCCACATCTGGGCATGGACCACTCGCTGCTGTTGCGCCTGAGTACTGGTGAGGGGGACAAAACAGAAGTGAGAGGCGAGGGGAGCACCATGGCACTGGGGTGGGGAGAAGTGAGGGTGGCAAAATAGGTGGCATGGAGAAGTGGGGAGAAGTGAGGGTGGCAAATTAGGTGGCATGGAGAAGTGGGGAGAAGTGAGGGTGGCAAAATAGGTGGCACCATGGCATGACGAAGTGGGGAGAAGTGGGACCACTCGCTGCTGCAGGCTGCTGTAAAGAAAGATCACTGGTGTGGTAAGAGGGTGAGGAGAGACGTGACTTGTGCTGGTGGGCTGGGGGTGCGCTTTGGCTGTCTTGGAGTGCATGCTCCACCAGCACACTTTTTTCTCTCTCACGTTGCATCGTTTCCCCCTGACTTCGTCGTTCCTCGTTTGGCCCTCCAAAGCCCCTTCGTCGCTTCTCCCTTGCTTCTCTGCCTCTCGACCATCTTTCCCCGCTCAGCCTTTATCCTTCCCCTCCACCTCTCCCAACCCCCAGGCTGCTGTTTTCGCCTAATGCTGTGGCACATAAAGCAGCAGGCACTCCCTACCCAACCACTTGGCCTCCTTACCCCGTTCTCAACTCTCCTCTCCCATCCCTCCTCTTCCCGCCCGCCAGGCTGCTGTTCTTCGCCATGGGGTGCGGCACAGGGTCCGGGCTCACCGCAATCAACAACCTGGCGCAGGTGAAAGAGGGGAGAAGGTGCAGATGGGAAGGGGGGTGGGTGCAGTGCAGGTGGGTAGGGAATGAGGGGCGTGGGTAGGGAATGAGGGGCGTGGGTAGGGAATGAGGGGCGTGGGTAGGACAGGGGGATTGTCCGTCACTCTAGTGGGGCAGTGGAAGCACAAGGGTGCGGCAACAAAAGGCGCCGAGGCGAAGTGATTGATGTGCCAACGCCTGAGAGAAGGGACCACCTTGCAGGTAGGTTGGCCATGCATTGCACCGAGAATATTCTCATCTGAGCAGGAAGCATTCAAACACACTCCACCTTCCCAAACGTATGCTTCCTCCTTACCCCCGTTTGTTGTCCGACCGCGCCATGGCCCAACCCTCAACTTCCTCTCTGCACATCCTTCCGTGCTCCCTCTCCCCCTCTCCCTTCCGCTCCCTCTCCCCCTCTCCCTTCCGCTCCCTCTCCCCCTCTCCCTTCCGCTCCCTCTCCCCCTCTCCCTTCCGCTCCCTCTCCCCCTCTCCCTTCCGCTCCCTCTCCCCCTCTCCCTTCCGCTCCCTCTCCCCCTCTCCCTTCCGCCCCCTCTCCCCCTCTCCCTTCCGCTCCCTCTCCCCCTCTCCCTTCCGCTCCCTCTCCCCCTCTCCCTTCCGCTCCCTCTCCCCCTCTCCCTTCCGCTGGCAACTGTGCCAGATCCTGGCTGGCGCCTTGCTTCTCTCACCAACACGAAGGTGACTCGCAAGTCGAATCAAAGCTGTACCGCACCCAAAGCACACAGATGCTCCCCCTTCTGGTCCCCTTCTCCCTGTCTACCGATTCTTCTTGTTTTTTGTTTCCTGCACCCTCCTCCTTTGCTTCCACCAGGTGGTGCAGTCTCTGGGCTCTGCAAATGCGGTCCCTCGGTTGCTCTCGTGAGCACCCCAGTCGAATCAAAGCAATACCCCATGCCACCCACTTGCAACCTACCTCCTTTTTTTTCATCCTCCCCTTCCCCCCTTCCGCAAAACCGTCGCATCCATCCCATCCACCCCTTCGCCCCTTCCTCCCTTCTCCCTCATCATGTGGGGGAGTTTCTGGGTTCTGCGAGTGTGGGCGCCCTGGTTGCTCTCACCAGCTCACAAGTCGAATGAAAGCTTTGTTGCATCACCACATGCACTGCGCACAACTCCCACCTTTTCCCCCTCTCCCCTTCCACCCCTTCCTCGCCTTCGCCATTTCCCCCTACTTCCCCTCTTCTCCTACTTCCCCTCCTCTCCTACTTCCCCTCCTCTCCTATTTCCCCTCCTCCCCTACTTCCCTTCCTCCCCTTCTTCCCCTCTCCCCCATCAGGTGGCAGAGTCTCTGGGCTCTGCAAGCGTTGGTGCGCTGGTTGCTCTCGTCAGCATCTGGAACTTTTTAGGAAGGATGGCTGCCGGGTAGGTCGGTTCAGCTGTTCACTTTAGGCCCATTTGCCGTGTGCCCCGCATCTGCTATGCCATGTGGCTCGTAACTCTCGTTTGCCTTATCTCTGGTGTTTCTTCCGTCTCGTGTTCTCCTTCGTCCCACCTGCATGCACCAGAAATGCAGGAAAATTTACATCACACCTTCTCCTTCAATTTCCCTCTCTTCAACTACACATCGCTCTCCCTCCGCCCTTCGTTCTACCCCCACCCATGCGCCCACCTCCCGACCTCCGCTCCAGGTTCGTATCGGAGCAGTGTTCGAAGCGCTGGAGCACGCCTCGCCCTCTCTGCATGCTGCTAGCTAGGCAGGTGATATATGAGTCGACTAGAAAGTATTTCCCCCATTTTTCGGACCTCCCCCCTCACCCCTCCCCCACCCCCTCTCCCGCCCAGGTACGTGTCGGAGCAGTGTTTAAAGCTCTGGAGCACGCCGCGCCCTCTTTGCATGCTGCTCGTGCAGGCTGCCATGGGGTGTGCGCACCTGCTGTTCAGCATCGGGGGTGAGTTGCATGCTGCCTTACCTGCTAGGAAGGGACCAGTGGTGGCAGTGCAATGATAAGGTGTCTTTTCTTGAGTGCCCAGTGCTGCTCGTGTAGGCCGCCATGGGGTGTGCTGCGTGCACACCTGCTCTTTAATATTGGGGTTGGGTGGCATGCTTTCAAGTGACAAGTGGTAGTGGTGGTGCTGCTGCTGTACGATGCTGGTACTTGTATGGCCACTGCTGCTGCAGGCAGCCATGGGATGTGCGCACCTGCTGTTCAGCAATGGGGGTGAGTTGGGATGTTATCTGTGTGTGCGCACGTGTGCTTGCTGTGTTATCCGTGTGTGCGCACGTGTGCTTGCTGTGTTATCCGTGTGTGCGCGCGTGTGCTCGCTGTGTTTTCCGTGTGTGCGTGCATGTGCTTGCTATGTTATCTGCTTTGTTTGCTGTGTTATCCGTGTGTGCATGCATGCACTTGCTGTGGTTTCTGCATGTACAGCAAGTACACGCAGGCACACACGGATATCACAGCAAGCACACGTATGGACACGCCCATTTCCTTCTGCCCACCCAACACATCTCCGATATACCCTCTTCTCCTCCGCCCGGTCGGCGTGGCAACCATCGTGTCGCTATCCAGCACAGCACATCGTGTATGCGTCTCAGAAGTTGGAACCACAGGGGCAGTTGAGACGTCTCAAAAGTTGGAACCACAGGGGCAGTTGAGACGTCTCAAAAGTTGGAACCACAGGGGCAGTTGAGACGTCTCAGAAGTTGGAACCACAGGGGCAGTTGCGACGTCTCAGAAGTTGGAACCCAGGGGCATCCACATTGTATGGCCGTTGCCACTGTCCCTCTGAACCTGCTCTTCCGTTGATGTTTCCTTGCCCCTCTACGTGCTGTCCCACTCCATTTTGTATTTGCAGCAGCGCTCGTGGGGATGGTCCCACTTGGCCACGCTGGTGGTTACCAGGTTACCACTGCATCGGTGCATCTGCCCTTTACCACTGTTACCCCCTGTACCTCCAAACTTCTTTGTTCCCGTTCCCATCAGACCCTCTGCCCCTCTACCGCACGGCAGCTCTGGTTGGGGCGGCACACGGGGAACACTGGACAATGCTGGTTACCGGATTACCACTGCATAAGTGCACCTGCCAATCAGGCATGCTGCCCCTGTGCCTCCATACCTGCACCTTTCCCCTTCCCCACAGACCCTCTGTTCCTCTACCCCGCGGCAGCGCTGGTGGGGGCGGCACACGGGGCGCACTGGACACTCATGGTTACCAAGGGTACCACAGCATCACATCCACTCTCACCCCTGTTACCCCTGTACCTCCAAACCTGCACTTTTGCGCTTCCTGGCAGATCCTCTGCTCCTCTATCCTGCAGCAGCACTGGTAGGAGCGGCACACGGGGCGCACTGGACGCTCATGGTTACCACTGCTTCTGAGCTCTTCGGGCTGAAATACTTTGGCGCGCTGTACAATACACTCAGGTGAATGCAGCTGTCTTGGGTGGGTGGGGCGGCCGCGGAACACGGACGCTGATGGTGGTAAAAGGTAGTTTGAGACGTCTCAAAACAAGCATTTTATCACATGGTGGCCAAGGCACATGAGGCTCGCTGGACGCTGATGATTACCACTTTGGACGCTGGAGGCGTCTGAGCTGTTTGGGCTGAAACACTTTGGGGCACTTTATAACACTCTCACGTGAACGCAGCCTCAGGTGAAACACACAGCTTCAGGTGAAACACACAGTGTCAGGTTAAATACAGTGTCAGGTGAAACACACAGCCTCTGGTGAAACACACAGCGTCAGGTAAATGCACAGCCTCACGTGCTTATGCACTTTTATCGGCACTCTCAGGTGAGTACGCACTCAGGTAGATGTACACTTTCTTCAGGTGAATACAGCTGTCCTGTCCAGGTAAACATATTGCACTGAGTTAAGCTGGTGTCCTCTCGTCTGTCAACATGCTGGCGAAGCTGTTTGGTTGCAAACGAGTTTCGAGGCGGCCTGAGTACTTAAGTCTTCTGGCCATATTTGTAAGATGTTTTCCTTTTCTTTTCTTTTTTGGTTGCTCAAAAGCTAGTCGCATTGGGGTGTGGATGGTGGAGGAACACCCCAATGCGACTAGCTTTTGAGCCACCTGCTACCCATATCCTCTATAAGTTTTTGAGCGTGAATGATTCTTCCGATGATGGGGCGAAGGGCTCTTACGAACATTGATGATGGGCTGGATGAATGGATGTGAGTAGATTTGAAGGCAATTTCCCATGAGATGACATGGAAAACTCTGATTGTGGGGTGCAAATGTGAAATGACCACATCTGGTTAAGGTTGGGTCTTTCTTCGTCAGTACCCAATCTGCACAGACGCTTTAACATGGAAGTAGAATATGAGAAGCACGATCACAAAGGTGGGTTACGGTCTATCTCTACCAACCCCTCTCTTCTCCATGCTCTCTTTGCTCCAGCATCCTAAGCATTGACTGCCACCATTGCTGCCTTTGAGTGAATCCACATGTTACGTTTGTCAATCTGCCGCCTAAAATCGTGTTTGCCTCAACCTCCTTCCCTCCTCCCGTCCATCCCCTCCCTCCCCTCTCCACTCCGTTCTTCCTCCCCGCCAGCATATTATGCTCGTACTGCCTCTCTGTCAAGCTCCCCCGTCTCTGCAAAACTCATCCTTCCCTTCCGTCCCCTCTCCCCTATTCTTCTCGTCCACTCCCTCACCTCCCTGCTCCCTTTCCCTCCGACAGCATATCATCCACAGTCGGCTCCTATTGCCTCTCTGTCAAGCTCGCCGGCTACATCTACGACCGTCAATCTGTGATCCAACGGTCAGCCTTGCTCCACCTGCCCGGCCTCTCCTCCTCCGCCTCCTCGCTCGCCTCTGCCTCCCTCTCTCCACCCACAACCACCACCGTCACGGAATGGGCGGCAGATGCTGCGGGTCAACAAGGGGCAGCAGCGGCACAGCTGTTGCTCCTGGAGGGATCAGAGCTGCCCCATCGGTGCATGGGCCCAGACTGCTTCCGCCTCACCTTCCTTGTGATGGCACTTGTTTGCGTCGCTGGCATCTGTGCTCTTCTGAACCTGGTGTCCCGAACAAGACGGCTGTACCAGGTGAGAGGCAACGAGTGACCATAGTGTTAGCAGTCGGAGCAGCAGGGGCAGCAGGTGTTAGCAGTCGGAGCAGCAGGGGCAGCGGAGGCACAGCTAATCCTGGAGGAATAACAGACTGCTAATCCCAAGTGCGCGTTCTCGCATCTGCGCCCTTCTGAACCTTGTAGCTCGCACACGGCGACTGTACCAGGTGAGGGGTGAGGAGTGAGCATAGGAGTGAGCAGAGGTTGGGATTTGCATGTGTCGGCCTGCCTGTCGTCGTTTTGGAGCTCGCTCGTGTGTGCCTTGCTGGTATGTGCGTCCTTTTAAGTCCGGGTGAGGAGAGAGGAGTGAGGGCGACAGTTGGGTCGACTCAAAAGCAGCCCCGAGGTGGCAGTCTTTGGTAGGGGGCGGGGTGGGAGTGGGTGGGGTAGGGATTGGTGAGAGGGCGGCAAAGTACCGGTATTCCCTGCCTCTGCCTCACCTTCCTTGTACCGTAAAACCAGAGAGCAATTGAGGGTGTCGAGAGGTGAGCCCTCGTGAAGTCACATATGAGAATGGCGGGTGCTGTGGCGGGTGCTGTAACTTGACGTGCAGTTAACGGCTTGCAGTGTGCGGCTGTTTGGGCTGGCTTCAAAGGCTTGCTTTTGAGAATTCTCAAAAGTGATTCAGATCTGGGCTGGATTTATGGGCTTGAGCAGGGGAGCAATGGTTTTGGCACATATGCGATTCCTTCCTGTGCGTGTGCTTTGGCAGGAGCATGTACACATGCATGCATGCATTGCACCCTGCACTCTGCACCCTGCACTCTGCACTCTGCGCAGCACACACAGCATGCACATGCGCACACATGTTTGCACACATCACCACATAGAGAAGTCGCATGCCCATGCATGGACACACACATGGTCCTCTGCTCCTCTCCCATCTCTCTCCCCTCTGCCACTTTGTTCCTTGTGTGCCTTGCCCCCTTCTGTTCTGTCCACATTCAGGAGTTTCATAAAGTGCAAAGAAGCTGAGCATTTCTGTAGCAGTGGTGCTAGTGCAACCACACTGTAATGCTATGTGTACAATACTGGAAATGTATATCCATGTAATTATAACATCTGCTCTGCACCACTCTGAAGCTTAACCCTACACACCGGGAGGACCCAGACACCGACACACATACCTACTCCACATGAAGGTGATGTTTACTGGAAAGGCTTTCAGCAAATCAAGCGAAACACAAGGCGATGCAACCAAGGTCAAGCTGGATGCTTATAGACAATAGACAGAACAAGAACCCCAGCAAAACAAAAGCCTAATGCAAAAGAAAAGACCATTGGACCTTTTTCGAAATTAAGTTTGTTAGAATGGACTAAGCTACTAGCGGAAGCTTTAGTAATCTTAGAACCTCCTCCTAAAGCCTAGGAATCTTAGGAGCCCACTTGGGCATGAACCATGCTAAAACCAAAGTGGTTTCCAAGAAGTGGAGTTCCAACAAGAGACAACCCTAACCTATAGGGTTTGGGAGGTGGTCCACTCTATAGAGTGTACACCACAAGTTCTCCCAACCCAACCAATGTATTCTACACTACTATAGTGTAGATATATCACTACATATGTTTATTGGAGCAACCCGAATTAACCTTAATTCCAACAAAGTTGAAGTGGGTATTGCTTACGCAACTAATTTCAACCCATCTACAGCTGCATTGCTCCACGTGCAAGTGCCAACCGCTCTGTATGCTCCAACAGCACCTGCGTAACACACACTCCACGAAACAGATTGCAACAAACCAGCGTATTTTGGAAAATGTCACGGAAAAGAGCAGCCATTGATTTTACTCCCACATACTCCCCAGTCAACAAACACGGTCCCCTTTGGCACGAAAATCTCACTTGTCTCATGCGGTGTGCGATGGCCTTGCACCCCGTGACTGCAAGCTTCACCACCTCCTCAAACGTGTCCATGGGCAGCTTGGCGTCCATCTGAGGCACCACAGGGCGTTAGTGTGGGAGACAGACACTGGGAGGCATGGATTCTTGGAGCTCGAAACAGCGCGTCCAGGTTGAGAGGAGCGGGTACAGCACAGCTTCTCCGCTTCCTGTGGGAGCTTGGGAGCTTGGCGTCCATCTGTGGCACATGTGGCAGATGCAGCAGTGCAAGCAAGGAGCTACGCACGCAAGCTTCACCACCTCCCCGAATGTGTCCTTGCGCTGCTGCTGGGGGCGTGCATATGAGGGCGTTTGGATGTGAAAATTGTGACTGTCAAGAGGTAATCTTCAGCGCACTGTAATATCCGTGACTGTATTGAATGTATGCAGCCATGAGCACAAGCAACCCCACCTGCAGCAGGGAGATCTTATCAGACGATGGCAAGTAGCCCACTGTGACGTCCGGGCCACCCCCGCTATCCTCCACGTAGTTTAGGTCTGCGTGAAGAGAGGGGAGAGGGGAGAGGGGAGAGGGGAGAGGGGAGAGGGGAGAGGAGAGAGGAGGGGGGGAGAAGGGGAGAAGAGAGAGGAAAGACGCAAGAGGAATGAGGTTTGAAGAGCGAGTGAAGGCAGGGAGCGGGACAACGCCCGGGACGCCCCCGATGTCCTCCTCGTGGTTCAGGTCTGCAGTGTATGTTTTTTAAGAATTCTAAAAAAACATACACTCCTCGTGGTTCAGGTCTGCCAGGTGGGCAGAGAGGTGAGGGACCGAACAGTACGGGGCTCAGATCAAGTGTTATGAGACGACTGGAAACACACCCTTCCTGTCCTCCACGCAGTTCAGGTCTGCCATGTGGGCAGAGAGCTGTGGGGGAACGTTAGGGGGCTCGGATGAGGAGGAAGCAGCATAGGAGGGACGCAGAGCAATGCAAAAACCTGGCTGATACGCTGAGGACGCGTAGGAGGGATGCAGTAGTGAAACGATTCTTGAGGCACTCTCATGAATTGTGGCATCGGATAAAAAGGAGGCAGAGGTGGCAGAGGTGACACCCAGGGGACCGCTGGCAGGCACAGGCCCATAGGTCCAGTGCGTCATGGCACAGATGCAACCAAAGGCCTGGCTGGTACCCTTGGCGTACATGAGCTGAGGTATGGCATGTGAGTGGCAACAGAGGCTGCTGAGGTGGCAGCAGGTGCCGCTGGCAGTGTCAACCCTTCGTCCAGCAGCCCACCTGGCAGCCCACCTGGCAGCTCCTCTCACCTAGTAATGGAGTGGCGTTGAGGTAACCAGAGGCGCAGCTGGTAACCAGGTCTCGCATGGGGATGCCTGCATGGCAGAGGGCGAGTGTCGCCGCATTGATGCACGCGGAGCGAGTGCCTGGGAGGGAGTGGAAGGGGAGAGACGAGTGCGTGAGAGAGAGTATGTGGTGCGGAGGGGAGGGAGGGGGTGGTTGCCTTTCATCGGGATGGAACACAGAAGATAGTTTGATACAAAACCATGGACATTGACGACCTTAAAAACGACCCATGATTTCATGGAGGATAGTTTCTAAGGGATCGAGAGAGGATGGTGAAGGTGGAGAGGAGGGATGGGTGGAGATGAAGGAGGTGAAGCTGCCGTCCCACCATGTCATGTCTTACCGCCATCGGCTTGCACCACATCCCACTACAACATCATTTCCATCATCCCATGCCACCACATGACCATACAGTCACATGCCCATATGGACACATATCCATAAAACCACATGCCCAGAGAGTCACATGCCTAAAATCCCACATCCCCATGTAGACACATGCCCATACCATCGCGCACTTACGGTACTGCCCCATGTCACGTCATACCCATCCCATGCCCACAACCCATCTTCCCCAGTCGTCATCTCTCCCCCGTGCTGAATGCAGCCACGTCATACTCACACCGCATGCCACACCACACCTACCACACCCCATGCCACACTCCATGCCAAACCACACACCCACCGGCCAACTTCCCACGTCGCTGCCGCTCCCCCGTGTTGAATGCCGCCATACCATACTCACCCCTCACTGCACGCCACACCCACACACACCCCACACCCACCGGTCCATCTTTCCTCGTCGCCGTCGCTCCCCTGTGCTGAATGAAGCCATGCCGTACTCACACCGCACCACTGCTCTGTCTGGCAGGGCGTCTGCCCGGTTGGTCACCTGAGTTGTAGAGAAAGTGTGGGAGAAAGTGCGGGCACAGCACACATGAAAGGGAGAGAAGTGGTGAACAGTGGACGGGGATGAAGGAAGTTATGATACCGATCCATGCCCTGCCAGGGCAGCCGCAGCCATGCCACACTCACAGTGCACTATTGCTTTACTTTGTCTGGAAGGGCGTCTGCGCGGTTGGCCACCTGAGTGGTACGGGAAGGGAAATGGGGAGATGCAAGGTGATGCAAGGTAGATGCAAGGTGATGCAAGGTGATGCAAGGTGATGCAAGGTGGCGGACAGCAGCAGCCACACTCACAGCGCACCACCGCCCTGTCTGACAGGGCGTCCGCTTGATTGGCCACCTGGGAGTGGGAGTAGGTATGGGACGTAAGGGGGAAGCGGTAACGAGGAGGCCGAAAAAGAACGGGGGGCAGCATCAGCCATGCCATACTCACAGCGCACCACTGCCCTGTCTCGCAGGGCGTCTGCTTGGTTCGGTTGGTCACCTGTTGGAGACATGGGATGGGGGGCGGAGCGAAATGAAGGTGGTACAAGGTGAGGGCAGCAGCAGCCATACTCACACACGCTGCACCACCACCCTGTCTGGAAGGAGTCTGGTCGATTGGTCACCTGGGAGATATGAAAATGGGAGATACGGCAGATAAAGGGACGAAGCCAGGAGGGTATGATCACGGCAGGGCACATGCAGTAATACTTCCAGCGCATTGATCAACCTGTAACTTCCGCACCTCCTGTGGTTTTCTTGCTACCACTTCCAGCTTTCATTCTATCATGTGCACACCCCCAGCACAAACAGATTATCCCAAGGCCATTCATTTCTTCAGTTTTTGAGATTCAAACGTTAAACCACAGTAAAACATCCATTTCTACTCACTACCATCTCAAAGCGCACCCCTTCCTTCCACCTCTTCCTTCTAAACCACTCACTTCCTTTCCACTAAGATGCCACCACCTTCATCCAGCACCAATGTTTCCCAACCCCATAACTAGCAGCAAACCGGCATTTTTCTCGTAGACACAAGCCTTTCTTAACCCCTGAACCCCGTCCAAACCTTTCGAAACCCCAAACCCCGAACCTTGAACTTGAACCCCAAATTCTGAACCCTAAACTCCAAACCTTGAACCCTGAACCCTGAAGCCCGAACCCCAGAACCTTGAACCCCAAACCAACCATGGACACGAACCACAACCTTGGATTGAACCTTTCAAACCCCGAACCCTGAACCCTGAATCCCCAAATCCTGAAACCCCCCAGCCCAAAACCCTGAACCCTCACCTCGCGGGGGCCATACACGACCGCGAGCACCTTGGTGTTGCCCATCTCGAATGACGCTGAGCTGATGGGCGCACGTGGGAGGATAAAGAGGAGGGGGGCGAGGTGGGGGGTGGGAAGGGCCACGACGGGGAGGGGGGAACGGGGGGAGGGCGGAGGGAGGGAAACGGGAGCGGGAGCGTGGGGAGAACCGATGGAGAGGAAAAGTTCCGGCAGCAACAAGCAGAAGGAGGGAAGGGAGTGGAGGGAAGATTGCAGGTGGCAAAGGTGAGCAGGAAACGAAAGAGGGAGTGCAACAAGCATGGGGCGGGCGGAGATGCATGGGGCGGGCGGAGATGTATGGGGCGGGCAGGCAAGCATGGGGCGAGCAGGCAAGCACGCATGCGGCGTCGGGAGCGGTAAGTGGGGGGGAAGCACGAAGAGAGCAGCATCTCACCCACCCATCAGCAGAGCGCAGCACGCCCAGCTCGCACTTGAGCTGCCGTAGCTGCACGCGCACAGGGGAGGCGGGGCGAAAGGAGGGGAAAGGAGGCGAGGAGAAGGGAGAGCGCGCAATGCGAGGGGAGCGAAGAGTGGAAGGGGAGGGGAGGATTATCAGAGAAAGGAGGGATCGAGAAGAGGAAAGGCGGACGCGCCCAGGACAACACACGGGCTGGCGCTGGCTTGGAGGTCGTTTGAACAGGAGAGCACGCGCTGGGTTGTGGCGGCGACTCAATAACAATCAAAACGGCTGGCGCGCGCTTGTGAGGCATCGGAACAGGAAAGTAGCGTGGGAGGGTCTACACTCGATCAAAACCTAAGCGTACTACTGGATAACGACGCGGTTCGACACCGCACCTACTAGCAGGTGGGGAACTGCACGAGTCTAACGGACGGGTCGTCCGATGGGAGGCGCGACTGGAGGATTTCGAAACGCACATTTCTTCGACACGTGGGGCGGTCCAACGGTTACCTCTTTGGGTCGTCGGCCGTCGAGCCGCAGCTGCTCCGGCGACACGAACTCCATCGAGCGAAATGTCTCGGCCAATGACTCGCGTGGGAAACAGAAAATAGCTTGATCAGGAGAAACTTGTCGCAAGTGAGACATTATTAACAAATATAAATATAAACAAACACTAACACATAACAGCGTCTGTAACTCAGTGGATAGAGTGTTCGCTTCCTAAGCGAGAGGTCCAAGGTTCGACCCCTTGCTGGCGCGCGAGTTTTGTGTTTTCATGTCCTTTTCTTTAGACCATCCTCTCTCCCACAACACCTGGTCAAGAAGCCTCCACTCCCACGTCTTCACACCAAAATCAAGAACTCATGAGCTATGAACCCTTGAAGTGAGTTCGACTGGTCTAACTGTTGAATTATACAACAAAACTGTTCAACTCCACCTCTTGCATCATTTCCTTCTGGCGTTTCGAGTGGGTGTGAGGGGCTGTGAGGAGGATTGGGGGGTAGGGGGGCCTTGGGGGGGGTAGGGGGGCCTTGGGGGGGGTAGGGGGGCCTTGGGGGGGGCATGGGGGGGTTTTTCCATCGCACCGTCTTTTCGTGTACAAATGTTTTTATATATTTCACCCATGGGGGTGGGTTCCGAACACCACCTTCCCATCTATGTACACTTGTATGCTCTATACCTTATACAGATGATAAAATCAGTGGAATTGTTTAGATACATTACTTTTTTTTTTTTTTTGATGAGTATATACCGAAACACAAGCATACACCATCAAACGGCCGTAACAGTGCGTGAGGCAACAGTAAAACAAGCTACTGTTCCAGGTGAGCTGTCTAGGGCGAGTTGCTGCATGCCCTCCTCTTGGACCAGAGTGCGGCGAACGCACTTGTCCACGTCCACCCCTTGCCATCCATCTTGATCCTACTCAGCATTTTCTCCTCCGCGAAGTTTTGTTGCAACCGTTTCTTCCGAGCTACCCCCATCTTACGCATGTAGATCCATGCGTGTAGCCTAAAAGCGGACTCCGCCCTCCACAGAACTCTCTGTAACCGAAACTTCTGCCCCCGACAAACTGCTTCGCATCTTTCCAGCCAGACTTGATGCAGAACCACCGACGTGAGAGTCAGCTCCGGGAAAGCTGACCTGGTGCCCGTTTTCCAAAACAGCGTGTCGCCCAGCGAGGCTGTTGGTCGGTTGGGGTTCAGCATGCGCAGGGCACGTCATCGCTAGCGCACGTCATCGCAGCGCCCTCATCGCTAGCTTCGTAGGCCTGTTTCTGCCGAGTTCCTGCTTCAGCACCTCCATGGGTTTTACAATCGCCACACCATCTTCCTCCCCTTCTAGCAAATCTCCAATCCGTAGCTCTGTTAGCCCCTGAGCTTCTTTTTGTCCCCCCAGTGGGTTTGTGGTGCCGTTGAGAAGAACTGCTGTGTTGAAAACCAGTCTCTCCTTTAAAACCTCTTCCCTGCTCCCCACCAGGTTCCTGATGGAGAAAGGAGAGCGCATGAAACTTTCCACCGTCTGCCTCCACCGAGTGCTGCCGCTTCCCCAGTGCTTTAACACCTTTACGTGCGCAGTGAACGAGTCCACCCCCAACGGAAGCTTCGCAGCCCGTTCCATGAGATCCCTTTTTAGTGGGTTCTTCTCCGTGATGAAGAGACCTACTCTTCTTGTCGCTAGACAGGTGATGAGAATCTCAGGGTCCTTGACTCCAATCCTTCCGTCCAGCCTTGGAGTGTACAGCAACTCTCTGCTCCAAAGTGCGAAGCCCTTCGCCGTTACTCTGTTACCCGAGGTAAAACTGTGTATCAGTCGCGTGATCTCCAGCCATATATCCGCTGGCGGCGGAAAAATCTGCGCCTGAAAAGCTAGGATTGGCGTGATATAGAAGTTAACCACCGTCGCTCTTGATGTGATTGTCAGGTACTTTAGCTGCCACTTGGTGAGCTTTTCCGAGATTCGGCTCCACGCCTTTTCCCAGGTCGGCCGACCTTGACCATACGGTGTCACCCAAACACCTAACAACTGCTCCGCTTCCTCCGCTCTGGCCCATTTGAAGCTTCCTGTCCCAGCCGCGCCGATGTTAGCCCCCAAAGGTAAGATGACTGATATTGCTTTCTTTGTTGCCAACCCCGAGGCTCTCTCATACCGATCCAGAATGACCTCTGCCTGACCAATCTACTCCTTTCCTTGCAGGATTTATGCCATATCATCCCCGTATCCAAGATAGCCTAGCCGGTGCCCATCTTTTTTAAGCCCGAGCCCCTTCCTTTCCACCTCCAAAGCCAACGGTTCCACCGCGCACAGAAAAAGGTAAGGCGCCAAGGGACATCCTTGACGAACCCCTGATGTTTGTGATCAGCAATTTCGTTGTTGTCCCCTCGTGCACGCCTTTCACCCAGCCAACAAACCGCTCTGGGAAACCCATGGACTCCAGCACCTGAAACAGGAAGTCTCTGGAGACTGAATCAAACGCTTTCCGGAAGTCCACCAGAAGCAGGTACCGATCATCATTCTCATTTTTCGCGCTCTCGATGATATCCGCCACCAAGGCGACTGCGTTCGACAGCCGCTTTCCCGGTATGAAGCCATACTGCTCAGGTGAGATGACCATGTGAAGTACCGTCTTCATCCGATCCGCTACCACCCGAGCTAAGACTTTGTACGCAAAGTTCAGTAGCGTAATGGGCCGATAGTTGTTGAACTGCTCCTTGTCCCCCTTTTTATGTAGCAGGATCGTCACCGCCTCCTTGATTTCGGCCAGCAGCAACACGGTTCCCTCGAAATCCTTCGCCATGGCCATGAAGCTTCCCCCCAGCAAGTCCCAATGTGCTTCAAACAGCTCCTTCGGAAGACCGTCACTTCCCGGTGATTTGTTCTTCGCCATTGCTCCAAACATTTTTTTCACCTCTTGCTCTGACCATTCTGCCGTTAGCGTTTCAGCCACACACTCATCCAGGCGATGAGAGGGATTGAAGCTCCAATCTGTGCGGTCAGTCTGACAATCCCTTCCAAAGATGTCTTTAAAGAAGCCAGACGCCGCCGCCAAGATCTCCTTCGACCCGGTAATCGACGCAGCACCCTCCTTCAACTCCGACATTGTGTACGTGCTTTCCGTGCCTGGATCTGCGCCGAGAGATGCTTGGAGGCAATTTCCCCAGTCAGCTCCACCGTCGAACCAGCCCGCAGATGCAACCGGTCCTTTCGTGCCGACTGATACATCTTTAGCTGCACCTCCTTCGACCTCAGCAACTCCCGAGTCCTCGAGCAATACGGGTTTCTCATCATCTCCTGCGTCAGAGTCGCGACTGTGTAAGTCAGGTGAGCCATTGTCGCCCAAACCCGCTTGCTCTCCTCTGTTGCGTATGCCCTGAGCCCAGCGCTCAGCCTTGCTACCAGTAGCTCGAAGCTGCTGCCGTCATTTACCGGGGTCTGCCGGATTGTCGCTTCTATGATCTTTCTCACCCCGGGCCTGTTAACCAGAGGCATGTAGCCACCACAGACCTGGACCTGTGCAGGCTTCCTCATCCAGACTGAAAGCGACCAACACCGCACAACTGAGATCAGCCACTGGTTCATCCGGTTTGATATGCGAAGCTGCCGACAGGTAAGGCAGTAAGGATTGCGATACTAAAGCGCGGTCTATCCGTGTGCTGACCCGTTTGGACTTGGAGAAGAAGGTATACTCCCGGCAGCCAGGATGGAGTTTGAGAGTTGAAAGATTTTGCAACGCTGGAAAAACTTTTCATTCACATTAGACACCCCCTTGCCTGATGACTTATCCAGTTTGGTGTTCTCTATGTGATTGAAGTCTCCTATGATTAACAGATGTGCTGAGGCTGGGATGTGATCTATGAGAGGTCCAAGGGAGTCTCTAAGGAAAATTGCTCTGGGTTGCGGGCTTGAAGGAAAGTAAGTTGCGACTACGGTGCGATCCGGTCCGTGTCCTTTGACAGTGGTTTGGATTATTCTACCTGAGGGGTGAGCTACTTTGTCATGAAAGGTGATGGATGGGTTGCGGCTAAGGACGGCTCCTCTGCCAGCTCTGGAGCGAGGGGCTGTGGCTAAGATGCTGTAACAAGAGAGTCTTTTCCAGTAAGGGTGATCAGCTCCTACTCTGATGTCTACTAGTACAGCTCAATCTCCTGCTTGACTAAACCAACTGTTTACTCGGCTCTGCTTGGCAATGTCACCTAACCCGTTAACATTGAGGCTCGAGATGGTGAGGTGGTTTTTCTTAATCATGGTTCCACTGGCTTGCAGCCCCTGATCATCCACAGGCTGATAGAGAAAACGGTACAACCAACACTGACTCCTAAGCACCAACAGGCTGCTGCATCCAGGTAACGTTCAGGAATCTTCACAGTCCATACTCTTTGCGGATGATGTCAAGGTTCAGCTTGTCGAGTGATTCCTTCGTGGCAGAGCCAGCCTTTGCTAGCTCCAGCAGGTGAGCAGCTGTAGAGATGTGGCCTGCTGCCGCCATAAGACTCTTCCCCTTTGCCTTCCCGCAGCCGGTTTGTGTGCAGATCCGATCTTCCCTGCTGCTGCCCGTAGAGACGAGTGTGATGGCTGGGTCGTGGAGAATAGGAAGAAAGAGCGATGACGCTTTCAGCAACGCGGCTGCGGAGGATCGACGACAGGTTAGTACGTGAGTGAGTTAAGCGAAGCGGAAAGCGGAAAAGGAGCTGACTGCTATTTTTACCGTTAAGCCTGTGCACTTTGCCAAGGGTAAGGTTCCATTTACTAACGTTATTCTGTCGCTCAGTGACAAAAGCATCATGATACTTATCATAATGCTTGCCACTGTAGAGCGAACAGGATAAGGTCGGATAATGGATGAGCAGCTTCTTCGCCCGGTCAGCAGGATCAGCGATCGTGTGGATCCATCGGCGGTTCCGGTTTTCCAGGTGAGCGTAGACCGGTCCCTTCACAACATCCGTATCAGCACTAGTGACAGGGTGAAGCACACGATGCAGACAGGTGCACCGCAAAAACGCCGAACGCTGAGTACTCTTGAGCAGGTAAGTAGCCATTCGATTATGGATTAAGGCCAGCTCAACAGCCGCAGAAACACCCATGATCATGAACTCGATGGCGTGCAGGTTCATTGCCTTTTCACGGGCGAAAGCAGAATCTTCCATCTGAAGCCAATGAAGGGTGATGAGCTGTCCCTGGTTCTTGAGAGGCTGGTAAGTAACTTCCTTCTTCCGCACCCATTCAGCATCTGAATCCTTTGCGAATGATACTTGCAGGCGACAATAACGAGTCTTGGTAATATAGGCCGTCTGGAGCTGCTGAAACTTGGTTGTGATGGCGGCGTCAGCTGAAAGTTCTATATACCATCCGTGTTTTATCAGTGCCTTAACAGCATCAATCACGCAGAAATTTCCTTGTGCAACATAAACGGGATCAGCAAGATAGCAACTGAGCGTAAACCAGAGCCGGCTTCCTTAACCACGTCGATGATCATCTCGTCGTCTGAGTCGTCATCGATGAACCCGTCTTCATCCGTAAGTCCGACAGAAGGGACGGTAGCCTTGTCATTAGCGGCTAGGCCAGAACCACCCTCCTCTGACCATATTGCCTTGTCCTTGTCATTGGTTGCAGGAGCTTGAGTACCGATGGAGCTATTAGCCTCCTTGTTACCAGCGACAGCGTTGTTGGCCGTGGTCGACTCAGTGACTTCACCATTCCCACCCAACGACTTGTCCAAAGCAGGAGGGAGGACATCGTTAGGAGCAGGCGGGTCCGTCGTCTGCTTGGAGCGGGAGCCTTTCAGGTGCGCCATGGTGCAATGATGATGTACATGCAAAAAACGAGTGTACTGAGCACAGTCAGAAGCCCAACGAGGCTATTGATAAGCCTGGAGTCTGAGCACTTCATTGTCAAATAGTAATGGTGGCTTGTATGGGTCCAGTAGCTCCTGCTGGTAATGATGTGTTCCCGATGTTAGCACCTTGGGAGCAGCGCGAGGATTAATAATGATAGTGTTGTTAACACCCGCAAAAGGAGAAACACGATCCGAAGCCATTGATGTCGTAGCCTTGAAGTTGCCTGACAAACCCCTGGGATGATCGCCTTGTAACAGGTTGAGCCAATGTCAGCATCAATGACAGGTCTCCCAAAAGCTGAGTTAAAGACGAATCTTAAGGTATAAACAGAAGTTTGAACAGAACTGTGTAACGCGGACATTGAGCGGCTCGGAGTTGACAGAATCCATGGCGTCGAGTTAGTCTCGAGAGTCATTGTTTAGATACATGACACATATCCAGCTTCATCAATCGGCTAACCTTATGCTATTATAACCAAAGTCCAATAGGAATTACCCTTACAAATGCTTAGAAGATCCTCCAAGGGAGGCCAGGGAGTAACCATTTTGCCACTCTGGGTGTTTGCACGACGCCTGGTGCAGCAGCAGGGCAGTTTCCAGCGCGGTCGCTCTGCGCTGCACGGGTCAAGTTACGCGACAGCCTTTTCAAGCATGGTGGCCGTGTCCCCATGCCCGCGCACCACCAACTGCAGCTTCTGCAGCCCCTCACTAATCCTTTCCCACCTCTGCCTCTCCGCCATGCTCCGCGCCTTGATGCACTCGCCCGCAATCTGCCGGTCGTTGCAACCAATCATCCGCATCATGATCTGCTGCCCCATTGGCACCTCTGCCGCAACTGGGAATTCCGCCCTAACCGGCCATGTCATCGTCTGAGTTGTCAAAGTAGTTGATGCAAGCAGCTGATTCTAGCACGGTGGCTAGTGACGCAGGCGCAGCGGAAGGTGCAGCAAGAGCCGCACCATTGGCGATGGGCAGGCGAAAGGGCATTGGTAGCGGGCCATGGGTGAGCGTCCTGTCGGCGGGGTTGGCGAGAAGAGTGGTAACGATTGGCAGCGGCGCAGCCGCGGGAGGCGAGGGAACGTCGGAAGAAGCAGCGCCAAGTGCGGGGCACGGTCCGCCAGCCCCGCTGCCGCGGAGGATGACAGCAGCAATCGCACGGCGCAGCTGACACGTCACCTCCGACTCCTCGCTTCCACCCTCAACAGGTGCATCCGCGAAGGGGACCTCCTCGATCTCCGCCGCCTTGCGCTTCCGCGACCCTACTGCATGCGCAACGGATGAGAGGAACTCCCCCTCATCAAGGGATTCCAGTGAGGAAGGCGGCTCGCTGGCGGTGTCGTCCGCGGTTGAGTCAGCGAGTGCTTGCATAAGCGCCTCGAGCAACTGCTTCCGCACCGCGCGCTGGGCCCATTGCTCGCGTTCGCCTCATCGCTCTTCTCGCCACTCCTTCCGTCAGGCTTACTAAGGTCTCGAGCGCTGGTCCAGGGGAGGTTGAGAAAGGAGTCAAATGCAATGTTCATGTCGCCGGATTCGGGAGATTCTGGGACGGTTTCTAGGTCGAACATGCGCTCGAAAGGAGACTGTTCCACTTCTGTGGGAGCCATCATTGGGAGCTGAGGAACTGGCTCTATACTGGAATGAATGGGTTCTGAAAAGGGGTGTTTGGGAGTGTGCATTGGAGGGTTGGGAGTGTTGGATGCGTGTTGTGGGGGTGCTTGAGGGGGTGCTTGAGGGGGTGGCAACTGAGAAAGCCGCGCAATATCTGTGCAAAAAGCGCACAGACAAGGTCGAGGTTTCCCAAAAACCAAGCCCAAACCTGTCTGCATGGGGGAATGTGGCTGAGCGCCATGTTTGGCCTGACGTGGCTCCAAGGCTCGGCGGCGAGTCTTGATGCCGCGGGTGCTGGCCCCTTGCCTACTCGTGAAGCAGCAACTGCCGGTTTCTGTTGGCTGCGATCGACGGCAAAATCCCAACATGCGACGCTAGTTTGCGCCAGCCCCCCTTGCAGCCCCGCATGGGTTGGCGAGGTTCGTTGGTTACAACTTCGCATCCGCTTATTGACAGAGCCTGCCCACATTGGGCTGCTTGGCATGTCATTGGGTATCTCGACCCGACCGAACGTGACATAAATTGTGCGTGTTCGCAATTCGCTGTCACCACGACATCAAATCCATACGCACCTATTGCCTGCAAGAGAAGGATCGCATTTTCAGTACATGTGCACCCAACGTGTGCATTTGCGCATGGATGGTTACCCGATTAGCCCTGCTATGTTTCGGGAAAACGAGGGAAACACAAATTCCTTCGCTGTCACCACTGCATCAAATTCGTATGTACCTATTGCCTTCAAGAGAAAGGATCACAATTTTGCTATACTATACACCCTAGTGTGTGCCCTATGCACCCGCACTTGGATGGTTACCCGATGTGCCCTGGTGAGTCCGGGAAAACGAGGGAAGCACACACTGCAGTGAGATGAAGTCCATAGGAAGAAACTGCTTGGGTCCAGCTAAGGCCAACTTTAGCGAGATACTTAGGACGCGTCAACTCCTAAAAAACAACAGCGGTTAATCGTGCAATATTGATCGCCCACCGCACTAAAATCCCGCAATTGCATCCAAAACTTTTTAGAACCTCTTTCAACCCAGTAAAAAATCGATCCTCTTTCGAGGATCGATCGCCAAATTTTGCCAGAGTTGACGCTTCCTTACCCGTTTAGGGTGACGACCGACCATCGAGGCGTCTGCTAGTTCTCTCGCGGTGCTATCCGGGGGGGCGATAGGGCCTAGCAAGCGTGAAAATCGCGAAAAGATCTCAATAGCTCGTCAATCGTGGGAGTAAAGCGTTTACCGCTCCCAATGTCATGCGCGTAGTGCGAGTTCATTTCAAACCCTCCTTCTCGTCACTTCCTGTATCGTATTATCGAATTCGAAGAAACCCACCGCGTCGTCAATCTCTCCCCTCCCGCGCGTGCACAATAACATGCGCGTGAAGTCCCCACCGCATCTCCCCGTCGCATCACCCCGTCGCATCTCCCCTTCGCATCTCCCCGTCGCATCTCCCCATCGCATCTCCCCGTCGCATCTCTCTCGTATCTCCTCTCGTCGCATCTCCCCGTTGCATCTTCCCGTCGCATCTCCCCGTCATATCTCCCTATCGCAACTCCTCCCCGTCGCATCTCCTCCCGTCGCATCTCCCCGTCGCATCTCCTCCCCGCCGCATCTCCTCCCGTCGCATCTCCCTGTCGCATCTCCTCCCGTCGCATCTCCCTGTCGCATCTCCCCGTCGCATCTCCTCCCCACCGCATCTCCTCCCCGTCGCATCTCCCCCCGTCGCATCTCCTCCCGTCGCATCTCCTCCCATCGCATCTCCCCGTCGCATCTCCCTGTCGCATCTCCTCCCCGTCGCATCTCCTCCCTGTCGCATCTCCTTGTCCCATCTCTGCCCCCCATAGACTATCTATCGTCTCGCGTTTTGCGCCACCGTCGTTTCTGTAGCCCCGTCGTCTTCTCGTCCTCGTCGTCTCCTCATCCTCGTCTCTCCTCCTCCTCGTCTCTCCTCCTCCTCGTCTCTCTCCCCGTCGTCTCTCCTCCCTGTCGCATCTCCCCATCGCATCTCCGCCTCGTCGTCTCCCCGTCGTCTCTTCCCGTCGTCTCCCCGTCGTCTCTCCTCTCTGTCAAATATTCCCTCTCGATTCCCCTCTCATTCCTCTTCCATCCCTTTTCTCCCCCACCTCCTTCCCCCCATCCTCCCTTCCTCCCCACCTCCCTTCTTCTGCTCCTCCATCAATCCCTTCCTCCCCTTCTCTTCACCTCCCTTCCACCCGCTCTCCCTTCATCCCTTGCTCCTTCCAACCAATTCTCCCATAAGCCCTTCTATCACTTCCCCATGTCTCTGCCAACCTTCCTCCTTTTCCCGTATCCTCCCGGCCTCCCATCCTTCCTTCCTCCCGTTCTCACTTTCGCCCTTCCACTTCTCCTCCCTTGCTCGCTCCCCTACTTCTATCCTCTCTTCTCCTGCCTCATTGTCGCGTCACTCTTTCCTCTCTCCTGCCGTCACGCACTTTACCTTCCTTACTACCTTACCCATTACACGACTTGCTCCCTTCCCTCTTCCACCCTCCCCTCCTCCTTTCATCCCGTTCGCCGTTCCGCCCTTCCTGACGAGTTCGCTACTTTGGGAGGCTCTAACTTCTCCCTCCTATGCCGTCGCTCTCACCCCTCTCTCACCCCTCTCTCACCCTTCTCTCACTCCTCTCTTACCCCTCTAGGGCTGTCAACACTGCGTCTGACATCTCCTGCGGTCAGACTTCTCGCCCGGGTCTGACTACTTTGGGCGTCGGACTTCTCCCCTCCTCCCCAGCTCCTCGCCCGCCGTGCACCTCCCCATCCTCCAGCTGCCCCACACCCCACACGCTCGTACCTCTGAAGCGGATCGCGTCCTGAGCTCAGGGCCGGTGGGGGATTGAATGGATGGGGAGGTGAGAGATGGCGGATCACTTTCTGTGCTCAAGGGTGGGGCCGGCGGATCCATCCTCGACACCATCCATCGTCTCCCCATCCATTCATTCACCATCCCTCGTCTCATCCAATCAATCCCATCCCTCGTCTCCCCATCCATTCATTTCCCATTCCTCATCTCCCCATCCATTCAATTCCCATTCCTCATCTCCCCATCCATTCATTCCCCATCCCTCATCTCCCTATCCATTCATACCCCATCCCTCATCTCCCCATCCATTCATTCCCCATCCCTTCTCTCCCCATCCATTCAATCCCCACATCGCACGAAGAAGTGTGGCTTCCAGCAATTAGCTGGAAGCCTTCCCGGTGACTCCCGATTTCGGGAGTCCTGTCAGTCTGATTTCAATGCGGGGGGGTAATTGTGGGGCAACAGAACCACCCTGCAGTCAACCTGTGTACTGCCGAAACCAACCTGCAAGGCGACTGCATTGAATAAGTTGCGCATCGCATGTCAGTTGGGGCGAGCAATTCGAAGTTGTTACCTCCGTAGTCGAAATGAAGACCCTCGCACATGTGAGACTTGAAAAGGTGGGTGTAACCAGAGCCATAACAATGTTCAGGTTGTTGGTTACCACGCTATAACAAAATGTATATGTCAAAAGACGCAGCGTATTTGTTATTGGATATTTGTTCCTAAATGGAAAGGACACAAAGCGAGCTACCTTTAATTGAGATCACTACACTGTTCAAAATATGAACTAGATCAACTATGTAACTAATAGTAACAACACGAATCATTAAAATTTTAATAACCGTGAGGAAATAATGATAAATTAGCAAAACTATTGATGAAAACGATAGTAAATAATATCGATAGGAAATTAGGAAACAGAATGTCATAATAACTAAACAGATCTACAATCTCTACAGCTAAATCAAGCTCCTAAAGATCCTCTACAATCTGCCAATCCTTCACAATGACATCTCCAAAATAGTAAAACCCACTTACTAATGGGATGCTTACACGACAGACCCAGCTCTCAACCTGGGCCTTCCTCTTGGTCATCTCACGGGTGTTGTTCTCGGAATCAGAAAACATGCTGCTTCGATCACGAGAAAGCATCTCAAACTCCACCTGCCAAGCACAACAAGTGCAATAAAATTAGACGTTGAATAACAAGCAAAACAACGTAATAAAGAAGCAAAGAAGCTCAAACTTACCGCGACCATTGTGTAGCAAAGCTGATCAATGCTCAGGGAGAAGCCACCCCCCTCTTTCTTCTGCCACTTGCTTGCAGCTGCTAAAAACGCCTCGCTACAGAACGGCTTTTCCTCATTAGCATGCCACGGCAGGCCATACTCCTTGGCATAAAGAGAAACACAAGTGTGAGAAACAAGTAATAACGAGAGCAATAGCAATAATGAGTGAACACACGTACCAGAGATGGAGGATCGTGCATAATCGCGACGATCTTCGCGGGTTTCCCTAACGGCTTTGCCATCAGGGTACTTCAGAAGACGGAAACTCGCCTTCCGAGACTTGTTCCCAAGTTTCCCCCGACGGCCGTTGCAAATCTCGGTGCACTTCTTCGACCACTCGCCCTTCTTCCAGTAGTCGTTGAATTTCCCTAAGTCTTTGGGCTCCAGAGCAAGGTGCACCACGACGGCCGCCTTGAATTGATCTTCGTTGGGGTAAGTGACACGCGCGGAGACGTCTGAGCCCTTGAGCAGATCATCGCAGACCTTCTTGCAAGCATCCTGAAAAATGAAAGAACACGGTTAGTACATAGTTAAAAAACTTTGATGAAATAATAACCAAATATAACAAGAAAAATTACCTCCATGGTTTTCTCGTTGCACCAACTCGGTTGGTGCACAATCTCAAGAAGATTCTTGACAGCCGTA